TGAAGGACAGTACCCTAAATTGAGAGTGAATCAAGAATAATTGTTTAAAAGCAGCTATAATAAGTGTTTTAGAATTAGCTGTACCTTTCAACACTTTAAATGCAAAGGAAAAAAATATAGTTGACAAAATTAAGCAAATATAACCAGGGAGTGGATCATTCAAATTGATGCCAGTTTCTCAAGAGCTGAGTCTGTCTGGTACAGACTATACCTACACTGGCAACACTTGCCACATCTTTGAATATTGGTGCAATATTGCAATGCCTTCTATATGGCTGTTGTATAAATTTTCTAATTTCTTCTTTTTTTTGCTGCTGCCATCACTGAACATAAAATGGGAACGTGAAGTCATGGAAATGTGAAGACTTTTTATTTTTAATTCAGTTAGACATAATTATTAAATATAACTTGATTTTAAAACTCCACAATTGGAGGCATTTTAGTTTAAAGAATCAGGTACACAAATTGCTTTTTAAAAAGAAGGAAAAAAGGCATTTGTTTTAGAAGTCAAGGTAATAGTACTCTTTGTATAAAACATAAATTTTCATTTGGTGATCCTATCACTTATTTTCAAAATCTAAAAATGAAATGTGATTGTTTGCTGTGGTAATATAAAAAATTTGAAAAGTAGGAATTAGGTTAACTATTTAAGTTTTTTCTAATAGATGGTTTGGGTTATTGTATGTGTGCTGTTTTGCTTTAAAGAAAATAGCATCTTCATGATTTTCCTCTTTGAGGTCTTTTGCTAAAAGAGACTGAAAGAGCTGTCAAAACAGGGTACCCATATCAAAGGCTTTTAACATTTCAGTGGTGGTTCTCTTGTATTGCTTAAATCTGACTTCATAGCCCTAATCATGATAATATCTGGGCAAATAGTTGAATATTCTTGGTGTTCCATTTTAAAGACACAAGATCATGGTCAAAGTTAATTTTTGTAAACTTCTGTGAAATCTTAACTTGAACTAACTGGGTTTGGCTTCATGTAAGGCTTGTCTGACCTGATGTTAGCTGTAATCAGTTTTGAGCTTTAAGAATAGTTGCTATTTGCTTGGGTCCTGAATGTATGAGAAAATGCTTCTGTTTATACGTAGTTCTAATTTAGGTTATTTTAAATCCATGATGAATTTACATTCCCTTTTAAAATCATGATATAATTGTTGAAAGAGATTTATTTTTGTTATACTAAACTATGGAAAAAATTTTCAAGTTTATTTTTTGTGTGCTTTATTTGGAACCGTTTTTGTTTATATACATTGTATGTGCTCAAAATAGAAATTTTTAAAAAATTCTGTAGGAGATTGGAAACTATACAGTGTAACTGTTGTGATCTTTATATGTGTTAATTTTCACTTTACATTTTAAATGCCAGACTTTACAAAGATAGCTGATCTTCATTAATTGCATCTAAATTAGAAATGTTTGTTCTCTTTCCATCCACGTCTTTAATCTTCTAAATTTTGATTTTAATCTACTTAAAGAAAATCCTTGCACTACAACCTTTTCATAAAATGCAAGATTCTCACATTGAAGGTTTTGTATTGAAAGAAATACTACTGGTTTTTAAAAAGCAAAGCTTAATTAATAGAAATAGTAGCTTTTCTTGAGACAGCTTTCTCTGTGTCTTCATTACTCCGCTTTATGTGAGTGTTACTATAATAGTTTGTGAAATATTGACTGAGCCCTTCACTTACCCTTTTTAAAGCAGCACCTTTGGACACCTCATTCTGGGCAGCCTGCTTGCATCGTAGTAAAGGACACACATCTGTGTGGGGAGAAGTGGTAAAAATGGAGAGTTCTGTCTTAATTACATGAAACTAAGCTTTAAAATATTTTGTAACAAATTATTTGAGCTGCATAATCTAAACATGCTAAACGTTCAGTGGGACTATTTTTATATATGTATATGTGGTGGTAGGTCATAACATTTCAGTTGATAATATAAAATTTCAGTTTATAAGCTATCTCTCAGAAAAGACTAGCTCTTTTGAGAATACATAATTTAAAATTTTAGAATGAAGTAAAACAACATAGATAATAGTGTAAATTAAACATAATTGAGGGCTATACGGCAGTAAAACTGCTAGTGCCAGTTTTCTTGTTTGCCTATTACAGTTTTCATTTTTTGTACTCTGAACATTTTAGGGATCATAAATTTGTTCAATTGGTTTAGAGTTGGTTTGGGAATAAATATCTTCTAAAAAGAGATTTATCTTGAAAATGAAAACCCTGAAAAATTAGTTTACTGAGAGTTTACAGAGTCAATCAGTAGGCATAGACTGGAATAGATAAACTCATGGAAGTCATACCCTTTCAGTATACCAGTGTAACTTCAATATTACCCAAGTAACATTGAGAGAATGCGATCAGCTTTGTTCCCCCTTAATATTCTTGGATTTTCTTTTTACATCTTTGGGAACAATTGCATTAAATGATTTCATTAATCAGTATAGCAGTAAGGGTTAAATGTTTGCTTGCTGAAGGAATGTTCCAGTGAGGTGATCAGAGAGGTTATTTTCTACCTAACTCGTATATGCCCTTTACGTCTTGGGCATACTTTGTCTATAGAAAAATATTTTGACCTTTTAGGTACATTTTTGGCCAGTAGTCAAATAACCCTAGGGCCAATATAAAAATCTTAGAATAATTTAAGGTTTGCCTTTTATACCTGTTTTGAAAGCCTTTACATTTTTGTCAGGTAATTTTTCCCAAGCCGTGGATATAATCTATTCAAACATGTTTATGCTATCCATTCTGTTTTTAAATTTAAAAAAAAATGTTAAAAGTGTTTATGAAGAAAAGTTTAAATAAAATATTTTTAATCTTTAAAATATTCTCCTTTATCTCTATTATTTACTTTATAATCCATCACTTTCAAAGTCACTTAATGACTTAATCAGCACTATACATTTTGTTTTCCTTCAGCATGCCAAGGAAGTGTTATGAAAATGTGATTTCTGTCAATGCTTTCAGCCACAGATTCAAATGCGAGCATCGGAGTGAAATCATACTCTTGTATGCAGTGAAAGTCTTATAATGAAGCCAGGTAACTGAAGTTCCACTCACACAGCATTTTGCAGAATTGAAATAGTGAATTGAGAAAAAGCATATAAAAACCTAAAGCCTTAGCTTGATGATTTTTAGATTTCCTTTAGCATTTTTTTTAAAGGCACTTTCTTTTCCCTTATTATTTGTTATTAAATATTTCAAACACAATAAATAATGAGGAACCACAATGTATTTCTCACCCAGATTTAACAAAGTTAACATTTTGTCCCTTTTGCTTCAGAGTCTTTTTGTTTTAAGAAATAAAACTTCACAGATATGTTCGAGTCCTCTGCTTCCCAATCTCATTTCTCTCCATCTTTCCCTAGGAAAAAATGCTTGCCAAAATTTGATAGGCAGTCTTTCTTCTATATTTTTACATATTTACTATAGCCATAAAGAATATATAGTACTATTTTCTTAAGCCCTTTGCCTTTTTTATTTTATTTTATTTATTGTGATTTGGGTGAAGATTTACAGAGCGAATTCACTTTCCATACAGCA